ATCGTTTTGTGGTGTCGGCGCTTCCACCTTCGTCGATGTTGCACGTGGATAGGCTGGAGTCACTCGTGCGTAGTGAGGATCGTCTTCAGATCTCTTGGCGAGAGCTTGTATGTATGGATGTCGACTATTCTGACACTACTAGAAAACAACCAATCAATGACGGAAAAAATCCGTCGGAATTCCGTCAGAAGGCAGCGTCGCAATACCTTTTGTATGAATTTCGGGATATTTCGTGGGAAATTCCGTCGGAAAGGTCCATTCCGACGGATTTTGTTATGTCGGAGTCAGGTTTGACTTAATTGGAAAGTCCGTCACAAGGTTCCAACGGATCTTTTCCGTCGGTATGAGTTACCTTCCGACGGAAAATTCCGTCAGAATAAACCACTTCCGACAGAATTTTCCGTCGGAATCTACTTACTTCCGACGGAAATTTCCGTCGGAAAAGTCAATAAAAAAAATCCCCACCCATACCCACCCCCGTCACCAGCCCACCACCACCCACCCCCCCCCCCCCCCAAACAGACCCCCCACACACCCAAACCACCACCCACACAAATCCCCCCCAGCAGCCCCCCTACCACCTTAACCCGCCTCTCCACCTCCCTAACTTAACCCACCTCACCATACCCACCTCCCCGAAACCACCACCTCTAAAACCACCTCCCCGAATCCACCCCGAAACCCAGAAACCACCACTTCTTCGAAACCCACCTCGAAACCCACCTCCCCGAAACCACCACCTCGAAACCCACCTCCTCGAAACCAAGAAGCCACCACCTCCCTGAAACCCACCTCGAAACCCACCTCCCCGAAACCCACCAAAACCACCGTGAAACCCACCTCCCACCACCTCCCCAAACCCACCACCCACCTCACCGAAACCACCCAAAACAACCACCGAAACCACCCAAAAAAAATAAAAAAAAAATCCATAATTTAACAACACCATAATTCAAAAAAATCAGAAAAATAAACAAGTTAATTCAGAAGAAGAAAAAAAAGACACATACCTTAATTTTGACAAACAAAACCGTCAAAATTGGGTTTACAAGGTCAAATTCGACCATGAAAACTCTAGATCCAGAGTTTTCATGGTCGATTTTGACATGAAAACCTTGATTTTCTTGAAAATCTTGAATTTACTTTGAATTGAAACCCAAATAACCCAAACTGAAAAATGAAAACGTAGAGGGGAAGAGGAAAGGAAGGAGAGGAAGAATAGGGGCGCCGCTGCCATAGAAGGTGAAGGAAGATGAAAGAAGGAGAAGGAAAGGAAGGAGAAAGAGGGGAAGAGGAAAGAAGAGAGGAGAGAGAAAGAGAAAAGAGGCGTGAAGAGGTAAGAATAGGGTTTTTGCTTTTTAACCCGTTTTTTATGTTTTTTTTTCTAAATCCGTCGGAATTCCGTCGGAAATTTTCGACGGATTTGTAATCCCTCGGAAAACACTTACCTTCCGATAGAAAATTCCGTCGGAAGCTAAGTGTTTTCCGAGGAATTACAAATCCATCGGAAATTTCTAACGGATAATCTAAATTCGTCGGAAATTTCCGACGGAACTTAAATCCCTTGGAAATCACGTTTTTTCCGACGGATTTTTGTGTCCGTCGGAACACGTCCATCGTAAATTGCCCTATTTCTAGTAGTGTGAGGAGTTTCTGCCTTACTTGCTCCACCACCACGTCTTCCTCAAGTTTGAGTTTTGGAAATATTTTCTTGTTGTAGTCACTTTTTAAACCGTCGAATAACTTGACTATTCGATCATGTTTTAGGTGAATGCTCGTCGTAGAGGGAGACTCAAGACTCCATCTCAGTCGGTCCGTTACCCTACGTCAATTGGTATGGTCGAGGAGCATATCGCTAACGCACCGAAGGACTACAGACAGGTCCAGGAGTCTTGTCCTGAGGAGTTGGATCCGGTAAGTTTTCGGATGCAGCTTTGGCTCTATTTGATATTGCTCGTTACTAACTTAATGTTTATGTTTCCAGATTACGCGTCCGGATGTGATGGGCATGATGAAGCTTGTTGATGGTCTGAAGTATTGCATCATTAAGCTACGGCGTGGAGCGAGCTGTCAGAGTAGTCCAGATGGCGTCTATGAGGTATGTTCACTTGTCATCTTCATGTATGTATTTTGCACTACTGATCATTTCTCATTTTTGTCTTTCAAGAGCGGCGGAGATCTCATTCGCGTCCGAGGCATGGAGGCTTGGGCGAGGGAGTGCCTAGCCATCGCCGACGATCCCTAGAGATCCGGCGGCATTCTCAGGCTCAGTGGCAACAGCCACAGCCTTCTCAGTCGTTTCAGCCTTTACAGCACGTGCTTAGGCCAGCCATTTCTCCTTTGGATCAGGGTTTACACTCGGTTCTGGTGTCTAGGACGATGCCTCCACTAACGATGCCTATGCCTTGGATTCAGCCATCTCAGCCTATGCAGTTCACCGGTTGGTCAGGGCCTGCCTTGACGTTGACTTCTACAGGAGCTGTGGAGTCGAGTAGGGACACAACTCCTCATACTCGGATGGTGGAGGGACTTTTCGGTGTGCCTTTTTCTTATCAGCAGCCCTAGAGAGACCTTGATCCGAAGCTTGTACCTAGTTCTTCTAGATTAGGAGATTTTTGACTAAGGGGTTTTATTATGTTCTTGTTGATGACACTTGACATTACTATTGTATCATGTCTCACTTTGTACATTTTATTCACACTTTATGCATTTGACACTTTATATGTTTTTTTAATGTGTATATTAGTGTGGGCTTGTGACTATTTGTGTGTGATTGTATATGGTTAACGACGCGAAAAAATTCCGTGATTTTTCATAAGTGGAGGGTACCGACCTTCTCCCGAAAAAGAAAAAACGGAAATGATGTAAAGAGTTTTACAACTTCCCCAAAAAGAATAAAGAAATGGGACAAGTTTTACAACTTCCCCGAAAATAAAAAAGAAAATAAAATAAAAATAAAAAAGAGAGTTTTATTGGAAATAAAACACTATAGAAAAAAGAGCTTTAATTAAAAACGGTTAAGGAGAACGGAGGATAAGAAAAGCAAAAGAAAATCCAAAATAAGGAGGCCAAGGATAAAACTTGAGTCGGTTTTAGCGCCGCGTCACGTAATGACTGTCGTGACACGGCAGGTTTACCGCGACACGGTATTTATTGCCGTTACACGACAGATTTTGCCGTCACGCGGTAATTTTGCCATGTCGCGGTGATTTTGCGCGTGCAGCAGGATAAAATTTCCTCTATTCCGGCTCTTTTTTGCTATAAATTACGACCAATAATCCGTGATATGCATAATTACGAAATACAAAATACCTAGAATTTTATATTCCAATAATAATGTCGCAAAATTTTGATAATACAATGTGTGACTGGTTGTATTCCTTGACCAACGCAGAGAAAAGAGAGCTAGAATTATTCTTTGTCAGAGGTTTATTAGCATTAAGGCATGTAGCAATTGAACATGATTTTCTTAGAGCAGCCTTAGATTATTGGAGTCTAGAAACACATTGTTTCAAGTTTGACTATGATGAAATTTGTCCTCTACCGGAAGAATTTGGTGCTATTTTTGGCTTCCCTGTTAGAGTCCTTGTTGCAATTCCCACTCTGTGTGAGTACTACTACCATGATTTTGAGCGTCATCTAAATCTGACTGGCGCAGATTTAAATAAAATTGTATGCGGTAGAGAAGTGGATATGGAAAAGCTTGCAAATTTATACTTTAATCACCCTATCTCTGAATCATATCATGTATACTGTAGAAGGGCTTATATTTTTTTATATGTTTAGCAAGCTTATATTTGCAAACAGTAGAGTAGGACATGCTAGTCTAGTTTCTGTGCTTGAACATGTTGAATCTGGAAGATCCCCTATGCCTACTTGCCTTGGAAAAACTCTGCGTGGTCTTGATGAAGTAAAATTTAACCGGAAACCCGTCATGAAGGGCTCTCTGGTACTATTGCAGGTAAATAAAATTCTTGATCTTTGAATCAAAAATAATTATTTTTTAATGCAATACTAACCATCTGCGTTTTTTTTTTTTTTTTTTTTTTTTGTGCAGATTTGGTTGATGGAACGATTAGGACTTTTTGAAGCCCCCGACGATATTGAAAAATATGGTCCCAATGATCTTGTTCGTAGGAAGAAAAACTACTCTGCAAACATGTCTTATGATGATTGGAAGTTGTTCTTTTCAAAGTGGGAATTTTCCATTAGGTGGGTGGTGCCTTGGTGGAGGCTTACTAAGATGGTTGGGACGAATGAGACTCCATAATGTCGTGTTCCTAGCTAGCCTTTCAAAATTGACTTTTTATTATCCTTCCCGATTGATGCGAAAATATGGACTTGAAAAAGTAGTTCCACGCTATAATGATAGTCCTCATGAAGTATCGTTGTATGAAAGTAATGTTCACAAATATGAGGCATAGTGGATTGAAAGACCAATGTGGACAGTTTCTGCGAGCGATCAACCCCTTCACCCTTATCTAGTGAATACAAAGCTTGGTTAAATCCAAGAAGTAGGAGGGAACGAGTTGGATCACGCAAGTTTGATGTTGATGTCACTACAACAAAATGAAGCTAAGGTAACAATGAAAAACCATTCCCTAAAATTAAAAAAGTGTTGCCTTGTATCTAAGGCAACACATATGAGGCGTAGTTTATGCCCCCGTTGTCTATTCATAAGGCAACGCATTTTCGTACAAAGGCAACAATTTTAAAAGCCAAGGTAAAATAATACCTAAGGCAACATTTTTACAAAGGCAACAAATGAAAATTGTTGCCACCTTAGGAGACGATTCAAAATTATTACCTTTTGTCATAATATAAAACAATCTTTTCACATGTTGTATTTGCTAGTAATAATACAAAAGTGTTGCCAAATATTGTAAAGACAACATCTAGAAAACTGTTATATATAAATTAAATGACTACAATGAATTGGCTATTTTTGTTTTCTATTACAATATATTACTATATTATATTAAAGGAGTGAGAATGTGTCGTACTATTTTGAATTTGTTATATTAGAAAAATGTTGAACATTAAAACATGTAATAAGCATTTGACTACAGAATCCCAAACTTATAAAATTAATTAGTAAAACAGTACAACCAAAACAATATCAACTTGTTTTCAACATCAAATCTATCTAAATAATCTATTGTTTAATAGAATGTTGTAGGCCATAATATTAGTCTAACTAAAAAATAGAAGAAATAATAAAAGGTTAAAGCAACTTCAAATTGAGCCATAAAGTCATATTCTTCTTCTTCTTACTCGCAGCCTTCTTCATCTTTTTCTTGTTCATCTCCCTGTACAAAAAATAAAATAAAATAGATAAATATTTCAACTTAGTATCGCTCAAATACAAAAAAAAAAAAAAAAAGAAAAAAATTGAAAGCCTTGGCCACTTTTCTATCTATACTTTACGTATATAGAAATCAAAAGGTTTTTACCTTGGATGTAGAAGCCGAAGATTGAAATCGAAGCATTTCTGTTGTACTACCACCATCCTTCTCAGATTGATTGTCAAGAAATAAAGAGCCAAGCATACTTAAATCAAAAGACATTTGTGGATTTTGTTGTTGAATTTGAGAAAGGATGGAGCTAAGACCATATGCTATCTCCATTCTATCTTGTTTCCTTTTGTCCTAATAATCTTTTTGTAGAGCTTGAACCTCCTGAGCATGCTTCTCTTCAGCTTCCTTCATCAAGGCCTTCTGCTTTAATTAAGTTGATGAAACACCTCTTCCATGAAAATTTAATCGAGACTTTTTCTTGTTATCAGAACCATTAATAGTTGAAATCACACTTTCAACCTCCTCCTCTGAATCTAATTTCTCAAGTTCAGTCTATATTTTAAAAGATAAAGGACAAAAATTAATATTGACAAAATTAAATGCAAAAAAATTAACATGAAATGACAATGAATCTTACCATCAATTTGTCCCTTAGGTCACCAGGCTTTCGCTTTGTTAGCTTCTCCTTGCGTGTTGCTATGAACATTTGAGCTAAACTAGGATTTTTTGTTGTTTTATTATCCTTTTTCTATACAAGAGTAATGAGTGTCAATCATTTTAATGCAGAAATAAAACCAATAATAAAAGTGATGAGAAATGTAAACAAGCAAACAAACAAACTCACCCACTTATATCGAACCCTAGCAAAACTCTTTGGTCATGAAGTATGCATAATGTTCTTTTCCTTTCCAACTAACCAATTTGCTTTATTTTGCATACATCGTTCCTGACAAATTAATACGGTGAACTAATGAATAACATTTTTCTTAAGACAAGAAATACACATTTGCTATAAAAACAGGGAAATATAAGAGACTTGTATAAATGTAATACCTCATATTTGACATCATTCCAAATCTTTAACAAGTCTTGGAACATATTTTTTGGGACTAGTTTTGGTCGTTTGATCATCCTTGTTTTATCATTGTCATATTTATGAAAGTGTACTCTTTTTAAATAACATTTGTACCTTCTCCAAGCAGCACCAATGGTTTGCAAAACCCATTTTTTTCCCTCAATTGGGACAATAAAATGTTTCTACAACAATACAAAAAAAGTTATACTAAAGTGATCATATTGGCACTGTTAAACAACTCACTGCCAATCAATTAATCTTAATCACAAATCAGGAACATAAGAAAACAACTCACTGAAAGTCTAGAACCTATTCTAGCACTTACAAAACAAGTCACTGATCTTAAAAAGTAGCAGGCAGCCAAGCAGAACACCATGTAGGCAGATCGACAACAATAATGACAGTTGGGGTTCATTCTTTTTACATAACATATGCCAATCAAGAAAGTTTAACATGACACTCTGACATGATCCAGAAACCATATAGGACAAGTTAAGCAATTATAAAACATTTCTACCATATTTATTTAATTGAATAAGTAACTCACCAAGACATAATCCCAAAGTTCTTCTTTCTTCTCGTTCCTTAGTATGGGCCAATTCTTGACAGTCAGTGGTAGGATATTTGCTTTTCGAGCTATTGTTCCTAAGAAGCTAATGAACTCATTGCATGTACTGTCATCCGGACCAACAGGTTGTCCATGCTCATTCAAGGTAACGTTCTTCTTCGCTGCGTCCATGGACTTTGTAGCACATAGTGGGTCCTCTTCTAGGCTTATCCTTTTCAGCTAACATGAGCAAAGAAATTCAAATGTTAAAAAAATGTCTTATCAAGCATGTAGGTAAAGAATTTTAGTTACAAATACAAACGATAGATTGCCATTTTCTTTATCATTCTTGTCATGATTTAAGTGTTCAACTTCTAATCCGAGCATTTCAACTAGTTCTCTTGTGGTTGAATAATGCTGATGTAATGTATGATTAGGGGTAGATGAGCCACCATGTGAAGAAGCCAAATCAACATTTCGCCGACGTTTTGCCATCACTGCTTTTCGAGTCAGAGCCTTCATTTTACGAATCTGAAATTGGGAACAAACATGGAAAAAAAAAGACAGACAATACTCTAAAATATGTATGTACAAACATTATACAAAAAAAGTTTCACACTTCATAACTCTTGTTAAATTGATAAGCAATTAATTGATCATAGACCACACATTCATAAGGGCATTTATAAAAAATTAAACATTAATGTCGAACTAAGCATGTGCTTCAAGTAGCCTTGAGAATTGTGTTCTTTACTGTTTCAGACACCATATTGACATAAGAGGTCAAATTTGAGCTAATCTTTAGGTATATGAGCATACAAGAAAAATATCACCAAACAGATGGGCCACCAAACCTCAAGCCCAAACCTCTATTGCAATATCAGAGAAGAGGAAAACCACAGCAGCACAAGGGAACAAATTTAATTAATTTTTGAAGGACAAAGGGTAGGGGAAGAGGGGAGTCTGCAGGAAGGGGGAACAACACTCACTAGTGGAGCAGAAACTTGGAGCAGCATATATCAGAGTAGATAGAGATAAACAAAATGAATTAAGGCGGCCTATTTTGTGTTGGACAAAAGCCTTGTATATATAAGAATGTTTTTGCATTGTCAAGAATTCTGTGAGAAGACTATTGTATTGGATATTTGGAGCTTTGTATCCTAAAGATACTTTGGGCAGTAGTAACCTAAAGTTACTGAACTATCAATATATTTCAATCCATTGGCTATCGAATCTTTGTTCTTGCTGATTATTCTTGTTTTGTATGTGCTTTCTATTGAGTTAGTTTAAGAGTGTGTGACTGTTGAGTCTCACAGAAAATGTATATGTGCATGACAAAGACTAGGCTATTAGCACAATGCTTACGCAATTTCACACTTTTGCAAATGATATGACAAACCATCCAAGTTTATTTGGGATTAAGGTAATCACTGATGAATGTAATCAAAATCAGAACATCACAATAAAAAACATACATTACATTATTACAGTACAGCTCAATCATGAATCATTCAATCTAAATTGAAACTTGTAGTTTAACTGCTTACAGCGCAGAGCAGAATTTGTGTTAAGTTCTAGAGAAGTATTTGGCAGTAGATTGCAGAACAAGTGTACAGTCGGCAAGGCAAGGGGGCAGCAACTCATGACAATAGAGCAGTAGAATTAAAGTTTCAACAGCCGCAAAGCAATAGGCAACAACAACATTATAAAGCAACAGCAGCACACCAAGACATTTTTCTTACTACTTTCTAAATCTGTAGAGAACTGGACAAATTTTCAATCAATACATGTTCATAGTTGATGGCAAATCAGAACATTCAAACATCTATTCCTAGTTGCATATATACTTGCATGAGATAATAGAGTTCCATTCTCAATTTAAAACCTATATTTTAAATTTTAAACCCACATATGACATATATATAGCAGCACAACACATCATCTTGATGCATACAGAATTACATGAGTAAGGAATAGAGACATGTTTAATTATAAATGTACAGCTTAGAAAAAACTACCTTCCATTGAATAGCATTGGACTTGTCTTTACTTTTAGACTGTGGAATGGGTAACTCTTCATCGGTGGAATCAAGCTCATGCTCCATATCTTGGTTAGGGCCTATAGAGCTCATCGTCTCCCAAAACCTTTTTCTTTTTATTCTTACTTTGATTGCCTCTATTATTTTGAACTTGCGCCATCAGTGACTTAGCCTGTTCCTTCAAACCTAATTCTTCCATTCTTGCAATATTTTTTCTAATTGTTTCCATTCTCAGCCTCTCATATTCTGACATTCTTGGTTCATCAGTTTGATGCTCATCACCAGAACCTCTTATAGCTCCAAACTTAGTGGATTTTTTCTTTGTCATACTTGTAGCTAATTAATTTTGAAAATGAATCCAATTATACAGAATAAAAAAAAAAGAATTATATATATATATATATATATATATATATATATATATATACACGCATTCATAAAGCAAGCTTGCACAAATAAAGAGTAAGAATTATACAACCAAACAATAGCTATATATAAGCACTCATAAAGCAAACGCTCCATTAAATTTTCATTCTAAATTCAATTATATATCTAGGTTTTTTAATATCAAATTTGATATACTGGTATCCCTTTCTATCATAAACTAAGCATATGTGACATGCCGACATCGTTTACTAATAAAAATGTTGGACAGAAACATAGGAGAGGTGGGAAAATTAGTGCAGATGCATATAACCCACACATAGTGTAAGCAACCCCACTAGCTACCATTAGTGAATTCGTTTGTAAGTTAATTCGACCTAGGACAAATATCTTAGCATCTGTCAGCAATTACTCAGTTCAGTAACAACTAGACATCAGAGAATAAATTGACAGTCCTCAATATGCTTTAATTTTTAAATCTTTTCTAGTTAAAAATCTTCTGCTCAAGTTACAAAACAAGTAAGGATAACCATCTGTTTAATAATCTAGCTGATTTCACAAAAGGGTTAGCATGATTGAAAGCTTAACAACTAACCTCTATTAACTTAAATTTTAGTGGCAAATTCTGTTCGGTACGTTTTTTAGACTAAAGTAGAACAAACAAAATATAATTGATTTCTATAGTGAACAAATCAGCATATATCTCAGAACCCAAGACTCCAGGACCTTATATGTACTAATTATTGATGTATGAATTGAAGTTAAGATCACATTGGAGCTTGGTCAAATTGGCAACTGTAAGATTTCTGGACCGCCTAATAAACAACCTGGACTGTGCATCAGATTGAGAAAGGTGAGGTTTTGCAATGTTCAGAGAGCAGGTTCAGGTACTATAAGTTTCTAGATAGTAAAATTCACAAAGATTGATCAAAATTGGACTAAAATAAATGGCCTGAATTTTTGGATTGCCCTTCATAGCTGCTAGTGTAGTGAATGTGGCCATTGGAAAGTAAGAAGAGAGATGATCAATGATAAACTAAGGGGATGACAGCCTAATCACACGAACACCGCCTAAGACACCCGAAAAAATGGCCTCGTTAGCTTTCGAGGGTGTCAGCAAAACACCCTAAAAAACGCTCTAAAACTCACACCCGTTATCTGATGTCATGCATCTACTCATATTAACAAGTGCAAATGTCCATGTCAATCACTAAGCAGCAACAGAAATACAGAGCTATTTGTAAATCATAACCATTAAAATCATCTTAACCCATAATCATATTAAATTACAAAAATAAGACAACCCAAAATATATTACATCTAAAAATCAAATCCAACATCAAATTAACCAGTTATAAATGCCAAATTCACTTCAGAGATTAAAAGGGCAACGATGACTTACATGAAATTAAGAATACAACAACGATTTCGCCGGCATCAAACCCAACTAGCCAACCATAAATCCAAAGAAAGCAGTGTGACTAGAGAGCAAAGCAACTAGTTAATTACGAATTGAAATAGATACTCTATACTCTTAATTAACTCTCACCTAAGTGGAAAGAAAGGAGGTGAGTAAGTAGAGTAACCGATTGGGGGATATGATGATTTTAAGACGATGAGTGTGTTGTATAATGAGATCAACAACTGAAAAGTGGAGTAACTGCTTATTCATGATCAAAAAAATTTGGAGCCGAAAATTATTTACAATTTCGCGGGTTTGGAGAAGAATATGGAGTTGAGGAGTTGAGGCGTTGAGGAAGAGTTGAGGTGTTGAGGAAATGAGGGTGGAGTGACCTGTTGAGGATGATGGGGTTTGGTTTTTTTTTTTTTTTTTTTTTTTTATTTATTTTTAACTTATTTTCTATTTTGAGAACTAAATGTGGACTACTAGATAATGGTTCTTCTTTTTGGAATAAACTAGGGGATCTTACTTGGGTGGGATTACAAATATCTTAAGGAAACAAAGTTGTAATCTATTATTGGATTATGACGAAGAAATTATTGGATTAAAAAATATGATGAATTAATTAAAATGGGTATTGGTAGCAACTTGCTAGTTTCTGGATGGTAATCTAATAATAACAATAATAATATATTAAATCAAACTATTTATTTTAATTGTTTCAAAAAAAAAAAAACTATTTATTTTAACGAATAAAAAATAGCTAGGTGTACAATAAATATTGTATATCCGTATTAATATTTTCCTAAATGATTACTAGTTACGGTCTGTTCTCATACGATTATTTCCAGTTCAGTTCAGCTCTAATAAATTCAGTTCAGCTCCTAATTTCATTCTCTTATAAAATATTCATTTCAATTTAGTTCAGTTCAACTCTAATAAGTTCAGTTCAGTCAATGAGAACAAACTCTAAATTTTTTTTTAAAAAAAAAAACGGGTGTACAATATTACTCCTAATATATACACACAAACATTTTTTTTTAAAAAAAACCGGGTGTACAATAATTATTGTACATCCATTATAAAGATAGCCTAAAGTGATCAGAAGTTACCCCTATAATGAATAAAAGTTACCACAATATGCATAAAAGTAACCCAATAAAGAAAAGGTTTGTAAGTAAAAGCAACTATAATATCCTTATAAAACTTATTTCAATTCATTGGCTATTTACATTAAAAATTGGCAAAAAGTTACCCTACTAAACTATTTTACGTGTTCTAAATCATGGTTAATTATTTTATCTAAGCTTATGTGAGATTATTTTTTGTAAAATAAATGGAATAAAGGTGAACATAATAGAGTCTTGTTTGTAATAATATTTGACTTTATACAAATGTAATATTGAATCGAAATCAACAAAAATGTAATCAAGGAGACCAAAGTCAACTGATACGAAATAGACCCACTCAAACTCGTTTAAACCTAAGCTAATACTCCAATTTGACCATTAACTAATACAAAATTGATGGCTTTTTCCAAATTTGACATGGACCCGATAGTTATTGTCTCGACTCAAAATTGATCAGATCCAAACCGAGGTGGGTCAAAAGGGTAACCTTGACCATTATGACAATCTTTTTAACACAATTGTGAAAGTCAAGTTACTATATAGAGTAAAAAGAAACAAAGTTACGTAGTGAGTTTTACCATTAAGTTTTATACAAATGTGAAATTCAATCAAATTAATTGTTTTAATATGTTAACAAGTTATATAAAAATGTGAAAGTCAAATAGTTTTATACTTTTATTCTATTTTGAGTAAGTTTCATACCGTTAATTTATCAGTGTCTTCACTTGCTTTATCATGCATTCTCTCTCATCTCCTTAATATGTGTGCTTAAATTGAACGTGTCAAATTAATAGAAACGGAAAATGTATGTAATTACACATTAACGAGTATAATAGCTTTTTGACGAACCATAGATTATAATCTAAATTGATAAATAAGTTACTCATTAGTAATAATTAAGTCTTGTTTTTTCAATAATAATAATAATAATTAAGTCTAAAATCTAAGGGTTTGTTTTGATTGACTGAACTGAGCTGAACCGAACTGAACTAAATTTATTGAAGCTGAACTGAACAGAACCGAACTGAACTGAACTGAATGAAACTTATTAGAACTGAACTGAACTAAAAATAATGTGAAGAGAACAGGCCCTAAGTTTATTATGAGCTAGTGTATAATAATTTTGTTAAAAAATGAGTATGTTATAATGATATAGTATCACTTATTCATATTATTATTCATATTATTATTATTATTATTATTATTATTATTATTATTATTATTATTATTATTATTATTATTATTATATTGTTGTTATTATTATTATTACATCACTAATCATTGAAGAAAAAAATCACAAAGTTAACTAACCCCCAACTAATTCGTTAGAGACTTAGTTCTTCCTTCAAAGTAGAACAAACAGAACCAAATTCAACTAATTCTTCCCACAAAATAAAAAACCCCAACTAATTTTTCCCACAAAATCTAACAAACAAAACCAAATTGCCCCTATGTTATTCCAACTCTCAGAATTTCGCTCATCTATTCCTAATAGATTAACCCCAAAATAGCATCAAATTTGATTTTGATTTCGATTAAATTAATACTCTGTATCAACTTTTAATTTGTTGGTGTAGATTGAAGAGAGTAAAGAATTAAATATAGATAGTTTGTTGCCATCTTCTAATAATATCTTGGTGCAACCTGAAAATAGCAGCGGGTGAGTATGAAAAACCATAAGAAACTAGTCTTATTTTAATAATCTATTATTTAGTTTTATTTTGCATTATTGTTATTTTGGTAATATATTTGTGGTTGTGATTTGTACGAGTTTTGTAGAATACATCAATGTGATTTGATAAGCTTACGAATGTTGGAGGAGATATTAAGAATTTCTTAGCTGCCAGACAGCCGCAGCAGCAGGCAGTCAGAGCCGTTAGTAGCTGGCAGCCTGCATCTAGAAGCCTGCAGCTATCAGCCACTAGTAGGAAGCAGCAAGCCGACAGCCACTAGATGCAGCTAGCCGCCACAAGCAGGAAGTCACCAGCGGGCGTGCAGTCGCAGACTGTAGTCAGGAACAACAACTTAGGTAAAAATATACTGAATTCTTGGTTTTTTTTTTTTCTTTTTGAAACAATTCTTGGGTTTTTGTTATTGCAAAGTATTTGTTAAATTGGACTTTAGAATAAGAATTAGTTTGACAAAATTTACTTTGAGTGAAATCATGTTGGTAACTAAAATTAGATAATTGCAACTTTGTAAGTATTATTATTCTCACTAGATATATGGTATATATCTCAAGTAGACACAAATATTAAAAGATCTTGGGGATTTTGTGAGTTAACTGATATTTTTACAAAATCCATGTCTGATTTTGGAATTTTTGGGTATATATCCCTTATGCTAGATAGCAGTGAGTTTTTATAACTGTTGTCCTATGACATGCGCTTGAAACAGGTGATGAAATTCTTCTGGACAACTTACAAACTCGCTGAAATTCTTTTTTCTTTGTTGGAAATGCTGATTTTCTCTGCTGAATCTTTGCAAGGATATTGTTTTTTGTTCTTGAAAATCTTGCTATTTTGCAGAAATGTTGAATTTTCTACTGAAAACCTTGAATTTTTCCGCTGACAGTTTCTGACTTTTTTGCTGAAGAATTTGATTTCTCAGGCAAAAATTTCGAATTTTTCAACTGAAAATTCTGTCTCTTTCCCACTTTGTTGTACTCTGAGTATTTCTCCTTTGATAACCAAAGGCTTGTAAGTGTTGCTAATTCTTCAGGCAACCTTGAGGAGCTTTAAGATTCTTGTTCTGATTTCTTCCACTTGAAGTCTTACTTGCTTCGTTGTGAACTTGTTGATAAATTGAATTGTTGCTCTTTCTCGAGATATCTTATTATCCTTTTTCAAATGACCTTTTGCTCTTTTAAATTCAATTTCTTGACTAAAAATGGCTCTTGATTCAAGATAATTCCTTGACGTGATTGCAATCTTGCCTCTACTAGGCTGCTACAGCAACTGTTGTTAGATGTTCTGTACTGAGCTCAATGCCTCCTCAATTGACGATTTGTTGCATGGAGGAGCTTGACTTTGAACTTTTTTCACAGAATATTGTCAGACAGCTCTTTGCACTTTCATCTATCCTCTCCATGCTCAACATTGTATGTAATTTAGGCATAAGAGCCGCTATGAGCATCCTGCAAATTTTAGTTAGCAAACTTTGAGTAGCTGAGCTATATTCTTGCCTGATGGGCTCATAAAATTCTGCAATTTACAGTTCTAAGGCAGTCTGATGCTTTGGATCTGTAGAGATGATACACCTCAAGTAGGAAATATTGCTTGAGTAACTACCTTGAACCTGTCTACCCCCGAGCTGCAATGTGCTTGCTGTGTGCTTGCTGATACACGCTATAAAGAAGCTCCATAAGGCACTTTTTGAAGGTCTAGCAACATTTTTCAAACCTTGTGGTCTGAAATTGATCTTGCTTTCCTATCCTCACAATGCTAACCAGACGATTGAGTAGCTTGAATTACTAGACCGCTTGAAAGTTTTCTTGCAGATTCTCTGCGATCTCATTGTATTCATAATGACTCGTCATAGAACTTGTATCATCTAAACTTATGCTTAGGAGGATTCTCAAGAAACTCATGAGTAGCTGGAGGTAAGAAGTGCCTACTTATGCCCTGCTGCTACCTATTTAGAGGAATTCAAATTACAATAATTCAGAGTTTAGAATCTTACAGGTTTAAAATCATACTGTTTTTTTTATTTTGTATTTTTTAACTCAAAAGTTAGGATTTGTTTACAGTTTAGATGAATTTAAATTACAGTAATTCTTCATTACTTAATCTTTAAACTAGATATGCATGCTCTTCACTCCCTTTTTAGACATATAACTCACTATGTTGCTCCAGGTCTCAACTAAAGACACCGATATGGCAAACATGCTGTTGAACTATGTGCCCGTCTATGCAATGATACCGGTAAGCCTGCATTAATCAGCATTCAGCACAAGTATTTCCTTAATTAAGTCACATAACAAATTCAAGCAGCAATTCAATGACTAATTTATTTACTTGTTTTGTGGCCTGCATACATTAATCAGCAATTCAGTAAGCCTGCATTAAACAACAATTCAGTAAGCCTGCATTAATCAGCATTCAGCACAAGCATTTCCTTAATTAAGTCACATAAAAAATTATTGTAAGGGCCTATTTTCTGTAGTTATGCTTCTTGTATCTTGCTACTTGACCATATATTTACAGTGGATGTTTTACATTGAAGCTTTCTTCATCTGTTGTAGGCATATGAGAAATTTGAAGTCTAGGAAATACGGCTCCTTAATCAAGGCCATTTACAGATTCACTACGGCCAAAATTATTGTAAGTCTTTTATATGTAAATTGTTTGTTCTATTATCGTTTTACTTGTTAAAACATTCAGAAACTAAAAAGGGCTACCCTGTTCTGTGTAATGATAAGTAGATAAGCAAAAATAATTTTTTCTATCCCGTCAAAGCGTTCTGCTATTCATAACTTGAAAAATTATTGATGGTTGTTATAATGTGTGAAGGCTTGAGATTAAACATTTTCTCTATCAGCAAGACTTTCAATATTCAACCATTTGGCTGATTGAATGTTCAGATTTTGAGAATAGACTAGTTGTGCTTTACTTCACATGCTATAAGGTGTTGTTTATGATTTTCTTGGCATTTGTCTTTTACTCTTTTCTCAGGTACATAGCATATAATGATTTACACCAGAAGTGCTACTGAGTCAGATAAAAGGTGAAGCATTTCAAACATGCCAGAACACTATATGGATGTATGAGTAGGCTTAACACTATACCACAACATTCTTATGGGGAGGGAGAACCTTAAATACATGAATTGTTATCTCCTCCCACAACCCCCAAAATAAGAAAGATGGTTCCCGTTTGTAGGGAGGCGATCATTTTGTACTTCTTAAAGTTCTTGTTAGTTTGGCACAAGGTTGTAAATTGATTGAAATTGATTTGTTTATGAACGTGGACGACCATGAGAAGGCTCATCTTGAACTATAATTTATGAACATAGACTTGTTATTGCAATAGTTTATCATGATGGAAATCATTGCAATAGTTTCTTGTTATAGAAACTTTTTATCAGTCATACCAGTCCAAATCTTGTTCAAGCAACAAATTGTCTGCACCTCTCCCTCTCTAATTGCAAACCATTCCTGCTAGAAGCAGAATTTGATTCTTGTTTAACAAAACAAATTCAATTGGAACATTACTTGCCTACAATTACAATTTGATTTTCAAAAAAATTGAATTCTTTGAAGATATACAAGGACAACAACCATGTCCCTTCCAATTACAATGTTGCAACTTAGTTAGTTAAGCTGAGATTGCAACGCAACAAAATTAGTATTGGACGACTAGTGAAATATACTTCGTACAACAGCTATAAGAAAGGTGCATCCATGAAATGGTTGCAACATGTCATACGCAGCATCCTCAATACTCTATTTCCAAAATGCCATCTATAAGACCAAACTCCATTGCCTGCACAAGGAAGGAAGGAATATAAACAAAGGACTCAATCTTGCCGATAAGCCAAAGAAAGGCACGTATGAAGACTTTTGTTATAATAACAAAATCAGCATATCAACAAACACACATAAGATCCGTCCCTGCAAAAAATATTTTAGGTAATGGAACATTAAAGAAAAGGCTTATGGATTTTTCACCTCCGAAATCACGAGTTATGACCTAAAAAATCCAATGTGAGTTCAAACCAAAATTTTGTCGATATCAATGTATACTGTGAAGATAATGCAAAATGGATAGCATGATCCCATTTATTAAGCACTTTTTTCTGCCAAACTGGTGCGAGGGAAGGATGAAGCAACTTTTATAAATTTTGTGAAATATATTTACTAAATTTTGTGAAATCCATTTACTAAAGGAATTCCAGAATCTGAGATGATGGACAAAAATTGCAAGTAAATGTTATAAATAGCTTAAAAAAAACAAAATTCAGTGCCAAAATTTGCATATAAAGATTTAATTTTTTTATATAAAGACTGCTAGCCTTTTGTAATTTATTTGTACTGTATAACTACCATCAATTCTACTCGTATGAAAATAGTAACTTTTACATATGTGTTGTATTTTCTACATTGATTTAGCTTAAAAAATGCTGTTGTGAAATGTGAAATCCACCAACCACAATTACCGGTGCTAAATTATTTGTTGTCATACACACCTTTATGAATAGATAATAATTTGTTCTTATTGACAATAATCTATTTATTATTATTTTTAAACGAATGTTCTAAATAATAACCTATCTTATGTTAGACAATGAAAATACATGAAACAATCTTGTCTTAGATACCTTGAAAAAGCGTTTTTAAAATTATTACATAAGCAACAATTTTATTGTTGTTATCTTTCTTGGCAACATTTTAAATAATTGTTGTCTTTTGTAAAATAAATAACTACATTTTACATATTGTTGTCTTACATAATCTAAAGCAACACTTTTCAAACCGTTGCATTGTCATATACTACAAATTGTTCAAGATCAAGGTAACAAACAAGTATTGTTGCCTTTTACTACAAAAGGCAACGTTTGTCATTTTGTTGCAATTTTGTCTGTTGCCTATTCTCATTTTTTTTGTAGTGTGTGAAGGGACGACTTGGAAGTAAGAAAGCGCCCCCTAAAGATCGTATTGGTCCGAGATCACAAGGAATTGAGTTTAAGACTCCTATCATGCCTAAGAAGTAGAGTTGGGTAAAAGGAAAGGGTAATGAAAAGATGGTTTATAGGGAGAAGCAACCTAAGAAATATGAAAGAGGTGAGAGTTCTACTAGGGGTGTGACGGTTCGAACTACTAAGGATGTACTAATGGTGAAGGCCGACATAGTTGAGAGGAAGAAAGAAATTCCTAAGACGAAGAAGGATTAGATCAATATTGCTTTGCTTTTATGATTTAAGGTTTTAAAAGGCATATGATGCCAATAGTTGTAGCAACATTTATTTCATTAATAATAGCATATTTATTTTTGCCTTAATTAAAACTTACAATGACTTTTTCTCACTTTCTCTTTTTTTTTATTATTATTATATCCGAGTCAAGAAGTCGGACGCAATGGGAGAATAATAAACGTTGAACAAAAATAATCGCAAAACGAAAAAAATACAGTATTCCACCAAAAAAAAAGATTGTCGTGTCACGGTAAATGTTGCCGTGTCACGGTGCTATTACCGCGTCGTGGTAGTTCCAGTCGTAGCGCGTTGCTTGCTGCTATGCGGTTTTCTCGTTTTTTGTGATATTCTGCTACCTTATGTGCTTCACTTTTGCCGACGAAGAAAGGATTTTGATTTTTAAAGTGGTCGGGCCCTCTTGAGGGGTTGCCTACGTATCCTTAGAGAGGAATCAGGCCAAATGTAGCTCTATTGGGTCTTGAACCCATGCAATTAAGCATAAATGTTCTTGAGTTGATCCAAATAGGTTAAACTGTAAAAACCGTTGTCGTCCATGTCTATTAGTTGTGTCGCTCCGCCAGATAGGATTGATTTGACAATGTACGGGCCTGACCAGTTTGGTCTAAATTTTCCTCTTGGATCCAACATGTTTTTGCGAAGTGCTTTAAGTACCAAATCTCCTTCTTTGATATTCCTACTCTTGACTTTTTTATTGAAGTGTCGTGCCATATGCTTTTGGTAGGTTTGGACATGATGCAAAGCTGCCAAACGTTTTTCATCAAGTAAGATTAGTTAGTCATATCTGGCTCTAATCTAGTCGACTTCATCTAGTTGGCTTTCTAACACAATCCATAGAGAAGGGATATCTAGCTCGATTGGTTGTACAACTTCAACTCCATAGACTAAAGAGAAGGGAATGCCCCTGTCGATTTACGAACGAAAGTTCGATAACCCCAAAGAGTAAAATGTAGCTTGTTTGGCCAATATTTGTAACTTTCAGTCATCTTTTCGATGATGGTCTTTACATTCTTGTTAGCTGATTCTACCTCACCATTTGTTTGTGGCCTGTAGGGCGATGATCTGTGATGTTTGGCGTGGTATTTCTTTAATAGTTCTGCGCACTCGGCTTGGAAATGCGTCCCATTATCACTGATCATTTCATGAGGCACACCATAGTGGCATATAATGTTTTTCTCAATGAATTGAGCTACATGTTTTGCTGTGAGCTTAGCATATGAAGTAGCTTCGACCCATTAGTGAAGTAGTCGATTGCTACAAGGATGAACTCATGTCCCCCTTGTCCTGGTGGTGTTATCTTCCTAATGATGTCGATTCCTCAAGTAGAGAAAGGCCTTGGAGAAGTGTATGTATAGAGAAGTGATGGTGGAATATGTTGCAAATTTGCTAACGTACTCGTGAAAATCTCTCTCCATGGTAGTCCAATAGTAACCTTGTCGTTGAATCTTCTTGACTAACATCTTTGTATTCATATGCATTCCACATATTCTGGCACGAAGGTTTTCCATGGTTTTGTGTGCTTCTTTCTTAGCTATGCACAACAAGTTTCTTACTAGTGCGGTCCTCTTGTGGAGTTAAGGATATCTGTGTACCAGGGCTCTTCATCCTCTTCTTGTGAGTCTTGTTCATCATCAAGTGCATGAACATAAGCCGGCTCATATCTTCGTTCTATGGTCAATGGAATTCTGACTGCCTCTCTTGGAATCTGGACCATCGAAGCCAAATTATCTAGCGCATCAGGGAACTGATTTTCTTCTCTAGGCAAGTAAATGTATTCCACTTCATCTAGTTGCTCCGTGAGAGTTTCCAGATAAGCTTGATACGTAGCGAGACTTTCACTTCTTACTTTCCATCTTTTAGAGATTTGGTTGATGATTAGTGAAGAGTCACCATAAATTCTCAGCTTCTTGATTCCCAAGGCAACAACTGTTTCTAATCCCAAGATGCATGCTTCGTACTCTGCAGCATTGTTGGTGACATCAAAATTGAGCTTCATGTAAATTGGGATGTGCTCTTCATTGGGTGATACAAGTCCTACACCACAACCTTTTTGGTTTGAAGCTCCATCGAAATAAAGCGTCCAACTATCATCCTTGGTCATGAGTAGATCTTCATCAGGGAAATCGTACTCTTCTTCTGCCGTCTCAGGTTCTTCTAATGGGAAATCTGCTAAGAATTCAGAAACTGCGAAACCCTTTGATGGCCTTTTGTGGCATGAACCTCAAGTCAAACTCGGCAAGGTTGACTATCCACCTTGACAATCTGTCGTTGAGAATTGCTTTCTCAAACAAGTACTTGAGAGGATCTATCTTTGACATGACATGTACAGTATGAGTGAGCATGTAATGTCTTAGTTTCTTTACGGCCCACACGAGTGTGAGGCACAACTTTTTGAGCGGTGTATAGCGGATCTCGTAGCCTTGAAGCTTCTTGCTTAGGTAATAGATTGCATTATCTTTTCTCTCGATCTCTTGTGCTAGCGCTGTCCCCATCGTTTCTTTTGTGACCGTAATGTAGAGTCGAAGAGGAAAGTCAGGTATTGCTGGTGCTTGCACGGGTGGATTTTCCAGGTACGCTTTGATCTTGTCAAAAGCTTTTTAGCATTCATCATCCCACGTGACCGGAATGTTCTTCTTGAACTTTTTAAATATAGGTTCACATACCGCAGTAAGTTTGGATATGAAACTGCTTATATATAACCTTCCAATGAAACCTCGAATCTCCTTCTCAGTCTTGGGTGGTGGCATGGACTAGATCGCCTTGAATTTTGTGGGATCTATTTCAATTCTTCGAGAACTAATCACATAGCCAAGGAGCTTGCCTGATGTAACTCCAAATGCACACTTTGCTGGATTCAATCTCATGTTGTACTTGCAAAGTCGTTTAAAGAACTTGCGGAGTGCAGTGATGTGGCCTGGTAGATCCTTTGATTTGACGATCATATCATCAACATAGACCTCCACTTCTTTATGCATCATGTCATTTAATAATGTTGTTGCTGCTCTTTGGTAGGTTGCACCCACGTTTTTCAACCTGAATGGGATTACCATATAGCAATGTGTACCCCATTGTGTGATGAATGTGGTTTTCTCCATGTCTTCCTCGACCATCAATACTTGATTATATCTGGCATACCCATCCATGAAGGAGAGGAGTGCATGGTTTACTGTGTTGTCAACCAGAATGTCGATGTGAGGTAGAGGGAACCCATCTTTTGGGCTTTCTTTGTTGAGATCCTTGTAATTAACACACATTCTGACTCTCCCATCTTTCTTGGGGGCTGGAACCACATTAGCTATCCATTATGGATATTTAGACACCTTGATGAAGCCTGCAGCTAGTTGTTTCCTGATCTCTTCTTTGATTTTGAGAGCCACATCAGGTTTCATGCGGCGTAGCTTTTGTTTGACTGGCTTCATACCTGGGATGAGTAGTATTGTATGTTGAGCTATGTCCCTATCAATACCTGGCATATCTTGGTATGACCAAGCAAATACATAAAAAAATTCACTAAGCAAGTTAATTAGCTCTTTGCGTTCGTCAAGACTTAGTGTTAATCCAATTTAAACCTTTCTAAGAGTAGTGTCATTGGAAATATTAATTGTTTCTGTATCTTCAATTATTGCAGTTTTATTATCATATTCATCCATTGATTTTATTATCTCTTTGTCATTTTCATCATTAGCAAAGCAATATTGATCAGGGTTAAGGGAATGGCGTGCATCGTAAGTAAATGTACTCATTCATTGAATTCATTAAGCATTACATCAAAGAGGGCAAGGTCAGTTGCGACCTCACCGGAATTATTTGGGATAGATGGAGGAGACTCGACACTAGGAGAAACTATAGAAAGGGACTTAATAATAGATAGGGGTTTAGCCTTAGATCCTTCAGGCTCACAAACAGACTCAGACTCGGACTCGAACGATTCAGATTCATCAAACATAGGGCCCTCGCCAGTAGTGATTCCAGTTTCTCTCACTTGGCGTAGTGATCTTCACAGTCTTACGCCAACCCTTCAAAACACCTTCAGCTGGGACAATGAGCTCAGAGGGCTCAAAAATCTTGTTTGACATGACAGCTTGAATGAGCGCATAGTTATTATTGTCAATGCGCTTGGGTTCATTCTTTTCGAGCCCAAAGAAAAGATTAATAGTTATATCACCAGGGCCTGGACTAGTTGATTCCCCAGCTGTTGGGAATATATCACCTTCATCAATGAAGTCACAGTCCATGAAAACCTTGAATCCTGGCTCACGCCTCCCATTGTAGATGAGAGGTCCAGGAAATTCATAGCATGGAAAGTCCTCCCTTTCCTTAATGTACTGAACATTGAGAGTGAGGGGATAGGGATCCATAGGCATCTCTGTATCCATAGCACGAGTTGTGTTGCGAGCAACCATCTTGAGCACAACTTGCTTCATGTCTTCTTTTTCTGGCTTGAATCCCAAGCCAAAGGTGTCTTTCTTGGGTGCACCAGGATAGCTCCAAAGTTCAGCCATTTTCTTCTTGATGCCAAGGGTCATTCCAGGGAAATGCCCTTGTTTCTTCGTGATTGCATTTATATTGACATTTGAATAAGGATCGAAGTCGAGATGACATTTCTCTTCCTCCTTGATCATGAGAACATCTTCCAAAGAAAAGCCCCAAAGATCCTCATCTTCATCATCGTGTTCAACATGGACAATGGGGGTTTCGATGACTTGGATACGCATAGGAGAGGCATCAATGGTGATTGGAATCCCTCCAACTATAACTTTGACTTTCTGGTGCAGCGATGAAGGGATCGCCTTTAACTCATGAAGCCAAGGGCGCCCTAACAATAGATTGAAAGAAGCCTTAATGTCTACCACTTTAAACTTGGTACGACGTTTAATGGCTCCAGTAGTAATGTTCAACTCAATAATTCCCACAGCTTAACGACGGGTATTATCATAATTAAGCACGAATTCCTTGAGTGGAGGGAATCAATTCTTCATCTTTTATGCCAAGCTTCTTCGCAGTGCGAAGCGGGCATACATTGATTGCTGAGCCATTATCAACTAGGCTCATAGGGACATTCATTTTCCTGCATACTACAGTAAGGTGTAGGGCCTTATTATGTTGATCCCCCTCTGGGGGCAAATCCTTATCGGAAAATGAAATCAGATTGTTGGTACTTGGTAATTCAGTAGTAAGGAAGCTAACTAGCCCTTGAGGAGTCATGTCACTATCAACTCCTATTTTCACGAGAGCATTCATCACAGCCTTTCGATGCTCATGCGAGGTAGCCAAAAGTTTCCATACATTCATTTCCAGCTTAGTCTTTTGAAGTTGCTTAATCACATCGTGCTTTGAGGGTCGATGGGATCAACTACTGGTTGTGCTTGTGATGGTGGTGGAGGCGGACTAGGTTGTTGCGACCTTCCATTTCTAGTGAGGACCTTGACCTCGAGATCACCCTAAACATCTTCACTAACTACATAATTGACAGCTCCAAGAGGTGGACAGGCCATGTCTTTGATAGACGTCTTCATCGTCACTATCCCAAATTCCATTAACTACTTCATAGCATGGTATAAAAATAATTTCTGGAAGTGTTTCATCCACAGATTGAATGAGTAGCAACGGATCAAAGGAGACTTCATCTCCTATGATAGTTAAAGCATCAGAAAGGGGACCTGTTTGAATAATGGGCTTCTTGGTCCCTGGAAGGACAGGATGTTGATTGACATCAATTAGGTCTTGAATTGCATTTTTTAACTTCCAGCATTGTTCGGTGGTATGACCCTTACCTTGGTGAAACTTGTAATGAGCATTGGGGTCATAACTAGCACTTCTATTCTCAGGTCTGGGTTCTGGAAATGGCCTAATAGGCATGATCAACCCTTGACTGTGCAGGTGATTGAAAGCAGTATCATAATTCATTCCCAAAGGTGTATAAACCCTTCTTTTCCTTTGGAATTTTTGTGTAGGAGCATTAAGAGCCAACACGTCATTGATATTAATGTGGTTTGTAGCATTGTTGAGCTTGGAAGACGAAGAAGAAGGATTGTCGTTCTTCTTGTTTTTCCAAGTGTTATTGTTATTGTTACTACCACCAGCAAACTTGATCTATTCATCTTCGATCTCATTGCCCACATTGTACACAGCTTCAAAGGTGTTCAAAGGCAAGAACCTAAGATGTTGCTTGTACTTGTGAGTCAGGTTCTGGATGAAGAGGCGAACTATCTCTCTTTCGTTGGGAGGATCCACCAAGAGTGCAACTATTTCCCTCCACCTGTTCAGATAAGCGGTGAAGCCTTCATTCTCTTTCTGTGTGAAAATGGAGGGTTCACGTTCAAGTTCTAGCTTAGATATTAAACTTGTAATGATTCATGAAGCTCTCGATTCTTATTGTGAAAAGTATTCCTGCAATCTCAAAGGCATGCAAAAAAAGATTCAATTTGCTCCAAACTATTATTAGGCTAAATTGGTTGAATGTTAATGCAACACATAATTCTAATTATTAGTGATCACTTCAATTAACACCAAGGTTAAAAAGGAACCTAAACCGATCGTCCAAATTATCTTATTAGGCGTTAAATTCAATTACATATTCCCTTTAACATGAAATAGGGTGATCATAAAATCATCATTAACATTGGAAGCAATTCAACAATAATAACGATTAGTACATGAAAAACATAATAAAAATCGTTAGAAAAATAATAGGAACAAAGGGAACATGATTCCTTACTTTGATTGCGTTTGCTTGCAACTATAAAACAATAAATGTGTTAGTAAGTTCAAGGAAAATAATAACAATAATGGAAATCAAATTAAATTAAAGTTGTTGATTTGAGGCCAAACCCTCAAACAGTTCTACCTTTCACGCCTTGGTTTAAGTGTGGAACTTCGGGTAAAGTGCGGACTCTGAGGTGTGCTTAGGGTATGTATGGTGGAAGAATAGGGTAGGCTAGTGTTTAGGCTAGAGCATAAGAGAGAGAAGAGAGAATGATTTGGTGCCTTGAAATTGAGAAATCAGTCTCGTATTTATAGAGGAAATGAACAGGGTGATGCACAAAACCCTAAAAATAAAATGCGTCGCGGAGGGTACCCTAGAAATTGTCGCGTCACGACAGGATTTGCCGTGACACGGCATAGTTTGCCGTGACACGACAGGATTTGCCGTTGTGCAGCATTTTTGCCGTGACACGACAAATCTATTTTCCAGATTTCCGTCCAAATTCATTTTAACCCTATTTCTTAATCATTAAGTAGGTGATATTTAAGCGTCGTTTCAGCTGTTCCGGGTTTATTTCAGGTTTAGGGTTTTGTTATTTTAATAATCGAGTTCAACACGAAATGAATTAAAAAGGGTTTGTGCTGAAATGAGCGTTGGACTAAGTTTGCATAAATGTTTGAACTGATGTGTTGACTGATTTGCAGGCTTATGTTTGATTGAATGTGGACTTTTAAGCACTCCCGAGGTTAAATACTCGTCCCGACCAATAATGGCGTTGAAAGGTTGTTAATCATCGGGTTTGGTTTTGAGGAGACATTTTTAGATGTTTACAGGGGCTTAATTCTAAATGATTAGATTCCAATACCTTCTCAATTGTTGTGTGAGATCAAATATGTGCAACCTCAATCATCACTATACCAACAACCAATTAATATTTTGACAAGCGTGTATAAATCAAAGTGAAAAGAAGAGTTAGTATGGAATGGAGTACACACCCTCGGTCTTTGGCACCGAAGACCACGTCGGCAATGAGTATAAATGAGAATCACAAAAAAAATTCCTTGTATTTTGTGTAGTTGGCTACTCAGCTTCAGAAGACTGCTTCTTCTACTCCTTCCTAACTCTTACTCACAGAAAATGGACCCTTCAACAACAACACCTTTCTTCATTCTTCCTTCAAACTAACAAGCAAAATTATCCCTTAATTTCCTCTTAAACCCTTTCATACTGCAGAATAGCTCCTCTTCTCTCAGTTTGCTGACAAGTTCTTTTCTTCCCTCTTTTTTCTCTCTATTTATTGGGTCAAATTTCTGCTTCTTCAACCCCTTTTAATTTCCTTGTTTTTCTCACCAAAATTAATACCCTTTTTTTCACCAAAGTCAAAATCTTTTTTGGGTATAAAGAAAATTCTGAGGAACAATTGTAAAAACTTCCCCTGTTTTTTCCTCTGTTTTCCCCTGTTTTTTTTTTTTTTAGATTGAATTTTATAATGATGGGTGTTCAAAAGTTGTATTTTCATAAATCCCAATTCATTTTTCTATTCAGGAAAATGATTTTATTAATTAGGATTTTATGGGTATCTTTCTTTACTCTATTTGGTATGACAAGGAAATGTATTTTTAGGTAATTTTCTTGTGTTTTGTTTTACATGATTGATTACAAATTTAATTTTATGATAATTTTAATTTTAATTTTTTTGGTTGCAGATTTATAACTCAGAAAAAGGATTCCAATATTAAGTTGATTCAACCACAAGAAGAACATCAAACTAATGAAAAAATTGAGGTGGAAAGTATAATTGAGGAGGAATCAGAGCCAGTTCTCAGGTTTCGTTTTCCAACTTTTAAAGAATTTCTTCAAAATAATGATGTTAATAATAATGATGCTCAATCTACAAGTTACTCAAAATTATGTGAAAATCTAGATGAAAATCATCATGTTGAGTCTAAAGATGATTGTGTGAAATCTGAAATCGATACGACTGTGAAAGCTTCCCATGAATTCTTACATGTTGAAGAGATTTCTAAGCGCGGAATTGGTTCAGAATGTGAGGTTTTTGGGAGTGAGAAAAATGGGATTATATTTGATGAATTTCTTCATGTAGCAAATGTTATTGAGGATAATTTAAATGTAATGAAAATTGAAAATGGCGAAGAATTGTGTGGAATTTGGAATGATTCAATGATTAAGGTAAATGTTGCGAAAAATGTCAATGAGGTTCCTAGTGATGCTAAGTCCTTGGTGAATAATTCGACGAATGATGAAGATATCATGAAAAATGGTAGTGAGATTCCTAGTGATGCTAAGTCCTTGGTGAATGGTTCGATGAATATTGAAGATATCATGAGAAATGGCTGTCATCTTCCTAGTGATGATGAGTCTATAGTATCGGATTTGGACCTAGATTCATTGGCTCCGAGCAGTGAGTCCAGCTTTAGGAGTTCGTTTATTGATTCTTTTAGTGATGGATTCTTGTCTGATATTGATTTCGAGAGGGCATTTGAGGTTGATACTTCAATGGAATTTGGTTGGAATGAGGTTAATTTAACTAAGGAAGCCTTAGAAAAAGAAGACTTAGAGTTTCAAAATTTGAGCAAAGGGTATGAAGCTGATGATTTCGATGATGAGGATGATGATATACTAGATGAGCTCAAGAAGTTAGAGTCCAATTTTGAAGGTGATGATAATGGTGATTCCAACAAAGAACATGAAGCAAACATGGAAACTGAACCCGAAAAGAAACAAGATGAAGAAAAACAAAGTTCAGGAGAACAATTATCTTCAGATTCTGATGAGCAAAATGGGCTTGAAACACAATGGGAGCACCAAGATTTAGTAGAACAGTTAAAAATGGAGATTAAGAAAGTTCGAGCTATAGGGCTTCCAACTATCTTAGAAGAGTCTGAGTCTCCGAAAATAATGGATGATTTGAAGCCGTGGAAGATTGAAGGAAAGTATAAATTAGGCGGTACATTGGATGAATTAAACAAGTTTTACAAGAGCTACAAAGAAAGGATGAGGAAATTGGATATCCTCAACTATCAAAAGATGTATGCAATTGGTAAGTTAGTATATTATTTGTTTGTTAATAAGTATTACTTGTTAAATACCACTTTCAATTTTTTATATACTTCCTTTCAATTTTTTATATACTTTCACCAACACAAGCATGAATTTAAGCATTTTTTAAGGTTGCCCCTTCGAATACTAAGCCTTTCTTAGTGCCTCTATTTTGGTGTTTTTCGAACTTACAGACAAAGAAAATGGTTTTTTTTAAGAAGGAAACTCTGTAGATATCATTTTCCTAGTGTTTGTGAAACATTACCATATGTGATCAAGAAACTGATTGAATGTCACACTTTACCTTATTTAATATTACTTAAATATGAAGTTTTAGTTGATTAAGCAAGTTGAATTGTCCTACTGAGTATGCAATACACCTGAAATGTTACGATGTATTTGAATGTGAAGAATATTTGGGTGATGTGGAAAATCTATCCATCTATGAAAGTCCACCAACCTATTGTTGTCATCTCATTTCTTGCCTGAGTTGAATTTTGCTAGAAAAGTGATGCTTATGTATCTTTCATGGTTTATATCATATTCGGAAATAGTTGCATTAGCTGTGTATCTCTGTATAGATGCTTGATTTCGACATGAAACCTACTGCATATGAATTCAACTTGATTGAGAAAATCTATCTGGTAGATGTGTTCAGTCAGTGCTAAGCCTATAATATACTTGTACTTGTATATAACTTACTTTATCTTATCAACTTTTTGGGAAAAGTTTGATAAAAGTACATAATCATAATTCCAATTATAGCTTCCTTTTCAAACAACAATTGAATGATTACTAAAAGTCCCTTGGACCACATATTTTAATTATCTTAATGGAAAATACCAGGATTTCTTCGGCTGAAAGACCCACTTAAATCAATTTCGAAGAACAGAATTTCAACCCCGGCATTAGCAACAATTGTTTCCCTTGATTGCTGGCCTTGTAAGCCGAAATTATCAACAGAAATTAACCAACCAGTTATGAAGAAATTCAGCAGAGAACTGGAGAGCGACTTGGAGATGGTGTATGTAGGACAGATGTGCCTGTCATGGGAGTTCCTTCGATGGCAGTATGGTAAGGCATTGGATTTATGGGACACCGATCCACATGGTATACACCGGTACAATGAAGTTGCAGATAAGTTTCAGACATTCCAAGTTCTCCTGACAAGATTCTTAGAGGATGAGCGATTTCAAGGTCCAAGGGTGCAAAATTATGTCAAGAATCGATGTGTTCAACAAAATCTTCTTCAAGTTCCTCTCATTCGAGGTCAGACCGGCCTCTTTCTTGAATGTAGCTCATAAAGCAACAGTACTAAAACCAATTCCTAATCGAAAACAAGTTAATAAACATGTCTAACAGGATATAGAACAAGACTAATTCCAACTTCAATATGACTGATGAATTGCCAACTTTGTTTTATATTGACTAGTTGATACACTGAAATGACTTTTGCAATTGGCTATTTGCAGATGATAATGCAAGGGATAGAAAGAAAGAAAAAAAATTCGTCAGCAGCAAAGATGCCATTACAAGTTTACAGCTTGTAGAGGTCATTGAGGATTCAATTCGTGTATTATGGCGGTTTATCAGATCTGATAAAGACACGACCTACATAGGTCTGTTGAAATGTCGAAGAAACTCCAATGCTGAACTCCAAAACCCAGCAGATGCCAGTCTCTTAGATCAAATTCAATCCAGTCTACAAAAGGTTGTGTCAACATTTTAGCTGTACCGAATTTAATTATTAACGCTGTTTAGTTGCCTGTTCTAAATGTTTGTCGTTGAACTTGGATTATAATTGCAGAAAGAAAAGAAGCTCAAAGATCTAGTAAGGAGCGGGAAGTGTGTACTGAAAAAAATCCAAAAGCATCAACAGGAAGAAGGTTCAGACAATGTTTTATATTTCTTTTCGCAGGTTGATTTGAGACTCATTTCAAGGGTATTGAACATGCCAAGAATAACTACAGAGCAATTAGTTTGGTGCAGCGATAAGCTTAACAACATTCGCTTGGTTGACAGAAAATTGCACGTAGATACCTCAGTAGTTTTGCTGTTTCCTAGTTAATTGGTAAAAATAAGGATGTTGCCGAGTTTTAGATATATAGTGATTTTTGTATAGTTAGAATGTGAATAAAAAGAGGTTTTTTTTAGTATACCTTTGGAATACAGAATATGAATAAAAGAGTTGATAGGAAATTAGGTAAAAGATGTACAATTTTTTGCATCTTTGCATAATTGCATGCAGAAATTTTGGAATGCATGATAGATTGTATAAGACTTGATAATGTACATCAAATTCCAAATAATAATGCTCTGGTTGATCCTGTAACCGTACTGATTTTGTATTTTCCCTTAAGGATGTGTTAGAAGGCTTTGTAAGGTAATATGCATAAACGTACAAAATCTTACACCAGGTGCACCCAAGGGTATTTCTAGGTTCATTTGATCAATTTTACTCCATTTAATTTGTACTCCGTAAAATTGAACAAAATTGATCAAATGAGCAAAAATATAAAACAAAATAATATTATAGATTAAAAAATAAAAACACCATCTGGTGCAACTGGCTCTAGGTACACTTAGGTGTAAGATGGATGTTCTTGCAAGAAATGGGTCTGGAGTTGCGACACAAACATTTATACTACTGTTTAGGGCATTTTAAAATTGCAAAATCGATTGCGTAAGTTTTCAATACCAAATATACATAATGGGGATGCTCAGCCATCTTGTCCAGATATTCAAAATCCTCATTCAGCAAATTGGACATTATTTGTGTACAAGGAATAATCTGCAAGCCCCTTTGTATTCCCTGCAGGTTTGCCGCCTTCAGACTTGAACGTATTGAATATGAGTCCCTGCAGGTTTGCCGAGCAGGAAATTTCTCCGAGTATTAATGTCCAAAATGTGCCTTGGTGTATATTACCCTGCCCTGTGCTCCTTCCAATACATGACATCAAGAAATTTTCTACATAACATTTGAAAGAGAGGGATAAAGGCAGTTCAGTTGATTCTAAAAATGTTCATACTCCACTTTCAATTATACGTTGCATACAGAACTGTCATTTTGGACTTTCACTTGCCGGAAGGGGTCAAATGATATTACTGTGTTGATCAAGAGGTGATTCTGCTCTAGAGCAAGAGGTTTTTATCATTCCACATAGTCTACTTAATACGAATATCTCTTCGTTAACATGCATAGAGAGTGCTGCAAGTGCTTTGCCAGAAAATAGAAAAGAGTGTATACTTAAAAATGTTACAGGAGCAGTGGCCAGGAAGAAAAACAAAAGGAGCTAATGAACTATGAAACTAAAGAGCTGCCTCCACAGCTATTTACTAGGATGAGAAAATAGCTGAGAAATAAACTTTTGAGCTTGTATTATATTGTTCCTAACTAACTAAATATGTTTTAAATTCTTGAAAGCATATATATATGGTATCTTTTCTTTTGGAACAATGCTCGACAATAAGAGACCTAATGCTACACGGTGCTGGTTGAAGCAGGATAGTGTCTTACAGCAGTTATTGTGAAGTAGCTTCTATGGGAGGGTAGAAAAACAATTTGTATAGAGTGATTTTTATTAGTAATATTATGGCTCTATAAGCATTCAATGGCTTACTGCAATCAGTATGGACTAAGAACATTTTGTATTTGACAGGGAAAACCATGTTTTATAGTGGTGCTCAGTTGAAGATATGCATGTATTGAATTGCTTGGTTGAAATTCCACCGGTAGTTGAAAGACATGAAATAGCTTTGTCTAGAAAAAATCTGGAAAGATTATTCCGAAGATAAAATGAGTTGATGTATGAGATCAGAGATCGTGAACCAGATACTGCTTATGTTGCTTCAGAAAATCAGAACTTTTATAAAACTTTTCCTTGTATTTTTGTAGTAAGAGACAGTGTCAAGAATTACTCCTATTGTAGATTTCTGACGATAACACAGTGTTGACTACAGGAGAAAATTTTACAGCCAGCATTGCTTTGATTGCAGCATGTTTTAAACATAATTTGATTACAGCATAATATAAGAGGTATGATAACTGATACCACAACTTTGAGACAGCCAAATTTGTTCATCTTTGACTATACCCGCCAATTATTTTTTACAATGAACACCATACTTATGACACTAAAATAATTTTTTGTCCAAGGATGAAGGAGAAGCACCATCATGATAATTCAGGAGAGTGTTGAAGTAATAACAAGACTATGTGGAGGATTTAACCCGTTTATCAAATCTTAAAATAGTTTTTCGTTAGTGTTAAGGATTCTGACATGGTAGAATGTATTTTAAAAGTCATGCCTGAATGTAGATTTATACTTAATAGTTAATATTCAAGAGGTTTTACACATTAACACCAACATCAATCAACAGAAACTTATATCATTTCCCTTTCTGGACACAAATTTTACAGCTCAAAATTGAGACTCGAGAGACTCATAGAAAACTGGTGACAAGAAAGGTAGAACTTTTGCATATGAATTAACAACAAAAAATTTAACTTTTAACTAAAGAACTAAACTGCACTCTAAAAACTACTTCCTCCTACAGCTGATCTAACTTAAGCGCCTAGAAAAAGCTATAAAAAACTAGCTAGATCTCCTACATTCAAATCCATCTCTATTCTACCTATAGCATTTGTTTGAGGAATAACTTGTCGACAACTCACTAGGACAAGGAGCCGAGTCCCATGATAAAGTACCGGAGTTTGAGACAGAAGACGGCAAACTGAAAGGAAAACCAATTGATCTGATGCCGTTCCACTGCTGATTTTGGCTCTTCCTGAACCCTAACTGATCTTCTGCTTCAACAATATTCTGTGATAAACCCATAGGAAGACCATTAAAAAGCTGCTGTGACCCACCAAAGTCTATAATATCTGTGATTTTACCAACTTCTGAGGTGAAAGCAGGGGTGAGGTTCAGGAACATGGCAGAAACTTCACCTGATGGGAAGATCAAGTTATTTGGGAGGTCTGCAAAGGAGGTTGGGATCACGGACACTTTAGAGACCATTGGATTAGTAATCGGCTTGTATTGATCAAGGGTGGAGAAACTAACAGGGGATGAAGTAGTATTCTGTAGGTTACTGTTGTTACAGGCTTGTATGGATGAATTCGCTCCTTCAGTTGTGCATGATATATTATCTGGACTAAAGTGAGAGCCTATGAGATTCGAAGCTTGATTGAACATATCACATGCTGCAGTAGTTTCTGTTAAAGGGGATACCCAAGAGTGTGTAATAGCTCTTTGCGCCATGGTGTTTGTCTTCTTGAATATACGACAGATTGCCCATGCATCCTGCAAGTCACAGAAAATATTACAAACTTTAGGGTCACCCTTCATGAAATATTATTACTTATGTTAGGATGGGTGACCTCCTAGGAAGTCCTTATGCTGGTTCATGTAGTGGACCCCACTTAAGGGATTAAGGCGTTCAAGCAGATAAAGATGTTCAGTTCATCTTCTGTTATAAGGAAAATTAATAACCTGTAATAGAAAACTAACAAAGTCTTTTTCATCATGCAAGAAGAAATACAAGAAAGAAAAAGACAGGAGATTTACATTAGCAGGAAAACTTCTGTCAAAAAGCTTCTTAGGCGGGGCAGAGTCATGCAGAGAAGGTAACCGGAACTCATGCATCATCCAGTCAGTCTTCATCCCTTTAGCAGCTCTTCCTCTGTAGAACACAAGAGACTTCTTCAAGCCTATGCACTTAGCACCATCAGAGGAATATATCGGCCTGTCAGTCCCAGTCGCCTTCCAAAAACCAGCACAGGTTACCCTATTAGGCCTCGAACTGTTTCTGTATTTCCGGTCTCTTGGACAGTAGAAATACCACTCTTTTTCTCCAGTAGACGCCAACTCTGATAAGACGAACATACATATATTTATATGCATACATGGTTAGTCTGTGAAAATCGAAAAACAAGCTAAAATCATAATAAATTTCAAGATAGTCTGGCTTTTACTTACTAGGAAGATCCCAAGGATCGTATTTGTAGATGTCAACTTGCTTAATAAGCTCAATAGGTAAAGATTGCTGAAGTATCTTTCTTTTGAGGTAGAACGCAACAAGCTCTTCATCAGTTGGGTGAAACCGAAAACCCGGCAAAATAACATCATCAACCTTATCAACCTCATGTTTCTCCTCCATTTTCTCTCCTCAGTTGTGCTTAGTATAAAAATATGATCAGAAACTCAAAGACAGAAAAGTGGTTTTAACCAGAAATAGCATTGTTTGGAAGAGCTAAAGTGAAGCAATAAGTAGAAATTATTACAAAAACTGTTCAACTCTTAGAACTGCACAACTTTGTGGAAAGATTAGTGTGTCGTACGATTTACACACCATTCAAAGCCATTGAAATGGTTGCTGGAAGGGGCTCTGAATGCGAAGCCTCGGCCGCGGTTTGTGGTTAAGTCTTCACTGAAAACTGTGTTTATGTGTTACTTACGACAACGCACGAGGAAGAGAGTTTAGTTACACTCAACTCATGTGAAATAGAGTTTAAATAAGCTAGCTCTACTGAAGCAGGAGCACTATTTCTTCAGTTTGCTGGTTTCTGTTATCAGCAATTATTTATATTTTCAAGAGTAAATTTACTCCTCCGTTTTTAAATATTTGGTGCACTTTTTATTTTCGGCAGTTTTTAAATATTTGTTCTATTTCCTTATTTGGAAAGCTCTTACAACATTTAATTCATTTTTCGCTACTAATGAACCCAACATAAATCATATTTTATTAATTTCACATTCTCTCTCTTCCGATTCTCTCAACTACTTTTGCTTTTTACAATTTTTTTATTTTTTAAGCTACTCCACTACCTTCATATTTTATTATTTTCTCTAATTTTTCCTAAAACTCCGCACATAGAAAAATAATGAAAAAGTATTTAAAAACGGATGGAGTACCTATTTAAAACCACCCGAATCAATTGAGTTGAACCCATTATTATTTGGACCCGAAAGTTATACGTATTATTTTGTTTTGACTAGACATTTTTTTTAAGTGACAAGGGAGTGAATGTTACTTTGTAGTTGGAAAATCCAGAATAATATAATTCGTAGTAAGATATAACAGAATGACCTTCACTAAGTCATACCTCGTCACAATAGCTGGACACACCTAAAAGCAAGAAAAATGGGCTATGACCCTTTTTTTTAGCTTGTGAGTAGAGAAGAGGGATCAACACAGCAAATTTTATTATTATTATTATTATTTTATTTAAAAAACAGACAAAGTCATACAACCTATAAAAAATTAGTGGGAAGTCGAGATACAATGTGGGCCCCCACTCCTCTAGCTATAACAAATTCTATCCTAGTA